GACGGACAGACGGACAGACGGACAGACAGACGGACAGGGCCAAATCAACTCAGCTCGTCGCCCTGATCAAGAATATATATACTTTGTGGGGTCTGCCACGCCTCCTTCTGCCTGTTACATACATTTCAACAAAACCATTATACCCTGATTTCCCATTGAAAATGGGTTCAGGGTATAAAAAGAAGCAGACGCTGATAATATCGCTATGACATCGCTACCTCAATTCGTGTGTGTTCATGTGTGTTCGCCTGGCTAACCGGCCGAGCCTTTTGGCCACGACAGCTTACGCTGGGCAAGGCAGGCAGCGCACCGCCATCTTAGCCAACTGTGGGCTTAACGTAACATTCAAATCATGGCGAATAATCTCATTGCCTGCCGAACCCGTAAAAAATGGATTTATGGATTTATTATGAAAACGCGACAAACCACCACACACACACACACACACACACACACACACACAATGAAAGCGCGAGCAACCTGCGGCTATCCATGGCATTTCGTTTGCCAATTTATTAGGCTATGTTTATGACAGTTACACAGACGCACATACTTACACCCGCAGCCACATGCACACGCACACTTCAGTTCACACACATGCCTTCGAGCCTGATCAGCTCATCAGCAGCTGCCTTAATTTTATATACGATTTTATGTAGAGTTTTCCCAGCATTTAATGCGGGCGCTGTCAGCTAGATGTATACACACACAAGCAGAGAGACTCACATACAAACACAGATACAACCGCCCACTTGGATTCAAGCTTTTAAACCAAAATGCGAGAAAAATAGCAATAGCTGTAGACTTTTGTCCGTTAGCTGCTGCTTAGCTTTTATGTTAATTTCTTTACGCGAGTTAATTGCGGGGCTCTCTGGCTGTAGTGCTGGCCTTTGCTTGTTTGCGGAAATTGAATTGCTTTGCTGGTGGATGCTGCTGGTGGCCGCTTTGCTTCTGTTAACTGCTTACACCTTATGCTCCCGGCAGACCCAATACTAAGCATATTGCGAACTGTTTGCCGCGCCCCACCGACCCGATCCGACCTACTCGCAAGTTTAATCAAAACGAGAGCACTACGAACAGCAACACCAAACACAAAACGGCTTTGCTACGCACACACACTCCTCATGATTTCGTGCTCTCCGCTCCTGCTCTCATTACTTACATGGGCGCTTACGTTGCGGCGCAAGCTCTCGTGCTTTCGTACTCTCTATCAGACTCTCGCACTCCCTCTCTCTTTCTCTCGCCCGCTCTATCGGTTTGGCACTTGGTTTGTATATGTGCTTCAACTCCCACCACTATGTTATTCAGTTGCGAGCATTCAGCGTCCGTTGTAGCGTTGACATTGTTGTTGTTGCTGCTGCTGCTGCGGGATACTGCTGGCTGCTGCTGCTGGTGCTGCTGCTGATTTTGGCCATTTGCCGCTCCCAAAAGTCTGCTTTGTAATTTTTCGTATTGTGCGCGCACATCTTTTCTCGGCATCAGCCTCGCTGCTGCGTCAACGTCGCTGCTCGGCTCTATTCATTCCGATTTTTTGCTGCTGTGCAAATTTTATTATACACAATGCGGGCTGCTGCGCCAACGTTGGCGTCGACGCCACCGTCAACGCTCTGACGCGCTTAGCGTGTGTGCGCTGGCCCCCAAGTTTTTACATTCGGCCTGCGCTTAACATTGTAATCAAATTTATGCTTTGGTGTTATAGATACAAGTACACAGCGAATTTCTGTTACAACTTAAACTTGAACTATTTGTTGAGCAACACACGCGCTTACGCGACAGTTTCGCCTGATTAACAAATTATTTATTTAGCGTGTTTTTTGCTAACGTACATCTCATCCGCTATCTGCCCATAAATAATCGTTGCTTTTTTCACGTTGCGAGCTGCACGCGTTCGCCGCCAGCTGGAGGGCTGAGCTGCTGATGAAACCCAAGCGCACGTTGCTAAATCTCGTCCGGGACTGAATCTAAAAGCTTCAAGCACATACCTTAACGGTACCTTTGCTGCAACACACAACCCGAATGCGCGCGTTTACTCAACACTCTCTCACTTTTCTGCTCTTTCTGTCTCTCGCTCGATTTCTCTCTGTGTGTGTAGCCAGTCAGGAAGCTGTGAGTACTTCTAGCTGCGGATGTGGGTGTGTCTGTGCGCATTTATGTGTATATGTGTGTCTATGTGTCAAAGCTGTTATCTTTCGCTTTGTACTGGAATTTGTGTTTGTTGGGCAACACGGCGAGCATCCTCAGCAACACCCTCAATAATGTCCCAGCTCGGCTAATGTGTGTGGGGGTGAGAAAAAGCGGAAAAGCTGTTACAATGTCTGTGTAGATGTGTGCGTATATATATATGTGCGTGTCTGTTTGTTTGGCATTCGTCTATACACTGCACGCCCTTTAAGCAACAGATTAGACAGAACGCTAATAGAATTCTCTTCTAAGAGTCCGTAGATAAAGTAATGAAAATATGGTTTTTGATAGATCTTCTTTGGAAAATCCTCAGGAAAAGTCTAGAGGAACACAACTGTCAGAGGGCAGTCAACACGAGAATATATATTCCAAATTT